AGTCCACTAGTGAATGTGTGGATGCAAAGCAGTGAGTGAGGTAGTCTGCACTGAAGGCAACTCGCTAGCAAGGAGCCCTCTGAGAGTGAGAAAAGGACGAGTTAGGCAGAGACTCACATTGGAATCAAAGCCCTGCTAGCACCAAGGAGTTAACTGTGCTTCCCACACTGGCAAAAGCCCCTTTCCAGAACTCGCTGACCTCCCAGCAACTGCCCCTTTTGAGGATTGAGCTTGGTGAACCAAATTTTCTCGGGATAGAGTTAGAGTATAATTGAGACAATAGAACGATTTCTCACCAGTGGAGAGCTGGTTTGCAATTAAAAGCACAGAGGAAAAAATATGATCATAATTCAGGGAAGATCAAGGGCAAGACATGTTTATATCTTATTGACTTAGATCAGAAGGAAGACAGAAACTAGAACTTAACAGAAAAATTGCAGGAGACCTAGCAGGAAGTGGTTGTAGGTGTTTGCACTTGAAAAGGTACAGCATGTTCTATCTCCTAAATAAATAAAAGTAATTAAAAGTACCTTCATAATAGCATGTACAGACTATCAGGAGCTGTTTAAACTTTAATTTTATAAAGAATAGATAAATTATTTAATCCTCACAGTTACCCTACAACATAAATACTATCATTGCTACCAATGTACTGATGGCAAAATTGAGTCAAGGACAGGATAAGAAACTTAAAGTTAGAGCACTAGTTAGTGGTGGGTTCAGGCTTCAGATCCAGGTGGTCTGCTTCCAAAATCAAGGGTTTCATTGTCTCTCCCAGCACTATGGACACTTTAACTATGGATGTGAGCTCCTAATTAGATAGGCAGACCCACCTTTTAAATCTCCAGAGGTCAAAAACTACAAGCATTCTGAAACTCAAGCTTTACAGTTAATCATAGAATAAAGACAAATTTTATCATTCCTTCTTTCCTCCATTTGTGAATTATTAGTCACTTGACCCTTAAGGAGTGTATAGATATGAACTGCATTAGTACTCTGAATGCATGTCAGTTTTTGAATATGAGTCACAAATATTGATTTAACACCTATCCCAGACTAATTTCTCATACTGGAGACTGTTTGAAATTCAGAGAGAAGACATCCCATAGAAGGTGTCTGTGATTAGATGACATGTAAGAACTGTGCAAGTCATGCTGGGCTGTTTCTGTCTCCTCTCTTTCAGAACTTACAGTCTAAAAGGAAAGACAAATATCAATCAAGCAGTCCATCAGTGAGCATGTAACTATAGAGTGGGTGAGTGAAGTACTCAGCAGGAAAGAGAGACAGGTCAGTGATTCACAGAGGAAGCTAAGCTGGCCTTGGGACAACAGCATTGCCTTGTCTGCCTTGTAAAAAAGATGCCTGGCTAGGAGCTGAAGGATGAAAAGTCTATAGTGGGTGACATTAAGGGATTAGAAGAGAATTCTAGGCAGAATAAATAGCACTTGTTAAGGCAAAAGAGCAGGCACTGAAGCCATCCAGTGTGGCCAGCCCCAGGGCAGGCAGCAGTGTGTGGAATGAGTTGAAGCTGGGAGAGGCAGCTTCTGACAGTCATGAACTCTGTGAACACTGGAGAGCCGCTTAAGGACATATGCAGAGCAGTGACTTGGAGCAAGGAGGTCACTGATGCTTCCCAGTGAGTGACCAAATAAATAATGACGCTCAGATCCTTCGTCCTTCTTCTACACCTCCAACCTCACTGTATTTTCACCACAATGCAAAGTTCAGCCAACAGAGGGCCTCTCCAAGCACCAGCTCATAGAGCGTCAGCATTGGCAGAACTCAGATGTGGTCTACACACAACCTGTACCAGTGAAGCTTTCTCTTGCTTTGTCTGAATCCCAGTCAGTCTTCAATCTGTCTGAACTATCAGCTTAGGCTTAATAACTGAATAATTTCCAGCAAATTAAACTACTTTATGAAGCTACTTTCCTTCCACTGCACCAAGGTGATGGTAGTATCAATTTATTATTAAGATAATGTATGCATTATTTCCAGCTTTCTATCTAATTTTTGGTAGGTACTCAATAAAGTGACAATTTAACTTAAATTCAGCCATTCATTTTGAGTTCTATCTTTCTTCCAAGTCAGCACAGTGAAAGTTCTAAGATACCACACTGTGTATCAGACAGGGCTCATCGTTAAACCATCCCAGTCATCCAGTTAATGTTCAAAAAACTCATGAATCTCCCCAAAGTAGAAGGAGGAGCTGAAGAAAAAGGAATGGTGTCATGTTTCCTGCATAATCTTCATTGTCTTGTTCCTTGAAAAAATAGCATAATTTTACTTGAGCTCAAAAAATTAATGCTATATACCACCAAAAGACAACGAATTTCAAACATTGCAGCTGGAAATAAACACTTTAAAACTTATTTATTTCTGTATTGATGTATATTTATGCATCTGTTCAATTTGCAATTGTAGGTTCATTCCACACAAAGTATAAAAATTCAGTGTTTCCCTTCGAGGACTGCACAGTCTGCAAAAGAGAGAGGCATTTAAGTAAATTTCAGATTTGGGACTAAAGTGCTATACAAAGAGTGTAGCTGTGGCTCTCCTGCTTGTGCAAAGGTCAAGAAAAGCTTTACCTAGAGGTGAGGTCCACCAGAGCTAGACTGGAAGCTTGTGTTTTGATTTCACTAACTAAGAAGGAAGGGTTTTGACAGCAGGAGGAAATGTCTATGCAAAGAAGTGAAGGCCCAAGAAGGATGTGTTTCCTCAACTACCTGCCAAGGAATTTCCTTGTCAACCTACAGGTAACTAAATTAGATATTCAGAGATAGTAGTGAATATTTTCAGCTGCAGGGAAGTTCTAAATTACTGGCATGAAATACATTCAATTAAGGCCATAACAACAACTTGAAGTGTTACCTGCTAAAGATGAAGGGCAGAAGAAGTAGTGTGTGTGTGTGTGTGTGTGTGTGTGTGTGTGTAACACCCTTGTAATTTCACAAAGACTGTGCTTCATGACATACAGTAACCTGGGGGCTGGTCAAATAATTTGAGGCTAATTACATCTTTCTTATTTATTATCAAGTGATGGTTGGAGATATGCAATGGATAGGAAGAAACAGGATTCTAGAATTGCAATAGTAACAGTTTGCTTTGATCTGGGTTGACTTTGAACATGTGGAACAGGATGAAATACAAAAGGGGGGGATGGTCCGCATGTGAGAAGGGGTGTGAACACAATTGCTAGTGTGACTTGAGAAAATATCTCATCTTCATCTTTCAACCAATAGAGCAGCTGTGATTCTGCCTTTTCCTGCAAGTAAAGGCTAGCCTGTCTCTGTCTAAGCTAAACACGTCTGCAGAGCCCTCAATCTCAAATGCACCATTTGTATGGAACTTTCACACCACCTGTTTAAAAAACAAATTTTCTCAAAATTATGGTATAGCTATAATCCCTTCTTCTCACCTCATTTTGCAGATGAAAACACAAATGCCTACAGTTCAGTAGCCAGCTAGCTGCCAAATGATGGAATCAATATTCAAACCCACTCCATCCTGCTTACAAACCCAGTGTCCCACTGACTCTGCTGTCACATCAGGATTGGGAGAAGTGGGTCTGAGAGAACCATTTGTGCCTGTCGAAGACACACAGATTCTGAGGAGCCCAGGCTGAGGAAGGCAAAGACTAAGAAAAAGGAAGTAATTAGAGTTCAGCATTACCTTTCCCCAGTAGACAGAGTCAGTGATGGGGAAAGGAAGAAAGGCCTGGACCAGACCAGCTATTGAGAGAATTCCCACCACGGTTATTGTGCCTCCATGAGCTCATGTGACCCTGAACCTGGCATCCAGAGAGTGCATAGACAGTTGGTTATGCCCGTAAACCCTGCAGCAAATCACACTAGCCAACTGATCTCACTTTATAGGTTGTAGGACATTTTACATACTGAAGCAAACAACTCCTTGCTTTTCCCAAACCCTGTTTCTCCTTCCTTTCCTTTTGCCATATACAACTCGAACAGGAGATAGTAGAACAGGCCAAGATTTTAGAGACAAACTCTGTTCTTGCTCGTTGAGCAACTACATCTGCAGAACCTTTTTACAATATTGAAGTCAAGTTCTAACGCAATCTTGTCACCAATCTGTAAGGTCCGTTTAACTGCATATCCCAATAAGCACATCATAGATATGCAAGAAATACTTTTAGAAATAATATGAAATTATTGTGTGATGTCCAAAATGTAGATATTAGGTTTCACTGCATGATGTTATGATCACAAGCAATAGGATTTGACTCTTAGAATCTGCTTGATATGAAGTGTGTTGTAATAACCATCTAATGCTCTTCTAAAGTCCTGAGTGGTGCTGTCCATGGGGAGATAGTTAATATCTGCTTCTTCAGAAACATCTCACTTATGTGCACACACACACACACACAGTCCCCTTCGATCTTCTGAAATTTAGCAAGCTGTTGAATGTTGAACTGTTCAGCAAGCTGTTAAGTGACTTCTCATTTGCTATCTGAATATGTGAAAATCCCGGAGAATGTGCAGTGACTTCAGTGACACAATATAAGCCCTACAACTGGCATGTTAGTTGGACAAGTTTATTAGGTCAGAGATTCTGTTTCAAGTGGTAAAATGGAAATGATAATATCACTGAGTTGAAAGGGAAAGAAATCCTGATACAGGCATCAGGGGTCTGACTTTCTGAATTCAAATCCTTCTTTCACCATCTTAGTAAATGCTGAGGGCTCCACTCAGATTCCTTCCTCAGGCGGAGAAGCACATGCCAGAGTGTGTGTTGCTTGACATCTCACAGTCAAGTTCCTCGCCTGTGAGAATCACCTTCCATTGGCCAGAAAGCTGCCTTGTGCAGCAATTCACCCCGTGCTGGAGACAGTTTTTAGGAAGTCAAAGGCGTGGCCTTCTTTCTTCAATACAGAACATCTCAAAAGAGCCATTCCAACATGAGAAATGCTGGTGGATTAGCTTGAGCTTTGTTGCAGCCAACCACCTTTTCTCAGTCCTCCTTCTCTCACTCCATGACAGGTGGTATTCCAGAGAACCCTCCCCAATAGACTTCCTACAATACAATCTCCAATTCAGAACCTGTTTCCTGGAGTCTTTAAAGATCTGTAGTGGATAGTTCTTCAAAGGTCAAAGTGTCACACAGACAAGTAACTGCATGAAATGAAGTTGGAATTCTGGTAAGAATCCTGTAATTTCAAGTCCAGTGCTGTCTTTACCTCCATTTCTGTCTCTCTACACATGAACTGGGATGATGGACGTCATAACACAATAGCTGTTAGTATTTCAGATCATTCATAGTCAATGTATTCTGGTTTTAGTGGCAATCGTTGTCAAGAGGTTGAATCATCATAATCAAGATAATGTAGTCTAGTTTTCCCACCACAAAGGCTTGCCTGGGCTTCAGTTTTCCATACTTAGCTTTCTCAAATCTTAAAATTCACTTTGGTTTTTTGTTATTATTTTATTGATTTATTCTGTGGTACTACAGTCTGAACTGGGGTCTTCATGCTTGCTAAGCAGGCATTTCACTGCTTAAGCAACACCCCCAGCCCTCAGTTTTATTTTTTGTTACTTATTGAACTGACATTAAGTATACATTTGAGAGATAAGAATTTTGAGGACATGAACATACATATGAGCAAGGTCACTGTCACTTGTTTGTCATTTTTATCCATCCAATTAACCACTATATATTGTGTGCCTTCTATGTGCCATAAAAAGCATTCTGAGAACTTTCCATACATCCTATTCTTTCATCTTCACATCAACAATATGAAGCTTAAGAGGTACTAAATTTTGAACAAGATGACTCAAATGGTGTTGTGGTTTCATTATGAAGTGCCCTCCACAGGCTCATGTGTTAAAATATAGGGCCCCAATTGGTGGCATTATTCAGGGAGGTTCTAGCAACTTAGGAAGTTGGGCCTAGCTGGAGGAGGTAGATCCTCAGGGGGATCTTGTCCCTGGTCCCTTTCCCGCCTCTCTCTCTCTGCTCCCTATCTGCCATGCAGTGACTAGCTAACATCCATCACATGCTCCTGTCACCATGAGGTTCTGCCAGGAACCCAGGGCCAACCAACTAACCATGGACAGACCTCTGAAACTGTGAACCAAAATAAATAATGCTTCTTTTTAAGTTGTTTATGTCAGACGTTCTATCACAGCCAAGAGAAAGTAACTAACATAGAGAAAAAGGTGGAATAAGACATACAATCCACTTGTCCTCAAATTCATCTTTTATAACTACCACGCTCTGCTGTGTTCCTCACTAGTTCATAGATAACAGTCAGACTGTGAGAAGTGATAGAAAGTAATACCAAACTATATGAGGGAAGATGCATTTAGATAAATGGTACTACAAGACTTCTTACAGAAAGCCCAAGTTGGCCTTTGGAGTGACCAAGACTGACTTCTAAAAAGAATGTCCAGAAATTCTGTTTGAGAAATAGAGTAGAAAGGGCCTGTTCTTGAATCTGGCAGACTTGAGTTTAAGTCCTGTCTTCATCTACTATAGGTTGTATGACCCTGGATATCTTAAGTTTCTTTGTTGATTTTTTGGTCTGGATGAACTGTCTATTGGTGACAGTGGGGTATTGAAGTCTTCCACTATCACTGTGTTGGGGTCTATCTGTGCTTTTATGTCCAGTATTGTTTTTTTGTTTTAATGAAGTTGAGTGCACCAATGCTTGGCACATAAATGTTTAGATTTGTTATTTCTTCTTGATGGATTGTTAGTTTAATTAACATGAAGTGGCCTTCATTGTCTCTTCAGACTAATTTTAGTCTGAGGTCTACTTTATCAGATATGAGTATAGCTACTCCTGCCTGCTTTTGAAGTCTATGTGCTTGGAATATGTTTTCCCACCCTTTCACTCTAAGCCAATGTTTGTTGGTGTCAGTGAGATGTGTTTCTTGTAAGCAGCAAATGATCAGGTCTTGCTTTTTAATCCAATCTATGCCTTTTGATTGGGGCATTGAGGCCATTGACATTCAGTGTTAATATTGAGAAGAGTGTAGTGTTTCAAATCATTTTTTTCCCAATGTTTACTTTTCCTTTATTTCTTGTTTGCTAGTCTGCTCAGGTAGTGGGGTTTATTCTTTCTTGCATTTTCCTAGCTAAGTCTAGCTTCTTCATCTGTGTGCAGGATGCCTATAAGTATTTTCTGCAGTGCTGGTTTGGTGGTCATGAATTCCTTTAGCTTTTGTTTGTTGTGGAAGGTTTTCATTTCTCCTTCAGTTAGGAAGGATAATTTTGCTGGATAGACTACTCTAGGTTGACAGTTGTTTTCTATGAGGGCCTGAAATATATCTTTCCATGACCTTCTTGTATTTAGCTTGTGTTGAGAAATCTACTATTATTCTAATGGGTTTGCCTTTATATGTGATCTGTCATTTTTATTTTGCAGCTTTCAATATTCTTTATTTTTCCATATATTGAATGTTTTGATTATAATATCTCTGGGGGGGGTGTTTCTTTTCTGGTCCTGCCAATTTGGTGTTAAAGCCTCCTGTACCTGGATGTCCCTCCCTTTCTTGAGATTGAGGATATTTTCTGCTATTTTTTTAATGTAAGATAATTTATTGGATAAGTTATCTATGTCTTTAGTTTGTATCTCTTCTCATTTTTCTACACCCATGACTCATGGATTTGATCTTTTGATGTGTCCCAGAGGTCTCACATGTTCCATTCATGTTTTCTTAGCATATTTTCATGGTCTTTGACTGACTGATCTGATTCCTCTACTTTGTCTTCTGCTCCTGATACTCTATTTTCAACTTACTCTACTCTGTTAGCTAAGCTTTCAATTCAGGTTTTTGTTTAGGATATTGAGCTATTAGTTTCAAAGTGATTATTTTTCAAGATTTCTATATCTTTGTTAATTTCTTCTTTTGCATCCTGCAGTCTGCCTTATTTCAGCCATCTGTATGAATTTATGAATTCTCTTTGAGCTCAGGTGCTTATTCTTATTCTCTTTGAGTTTAATCATTAACTTATATCTTTCCTCTTCAAGCTCGTTCTTGAATAGTCTTACTATTATTTTTAATTCAATGTTTGATATTTCCTCTTCTTCATTATTGTTAGGTCCTTAAGGATAAAGTTGGCTTTTGAGGGAGAGCTGTTGTCTTGGTGCTTCATGTTTCTGCATTGAGCTTTACACATCTGGGGTTATTTTGGGTTGGAGGTTCCAATCCCTTGTGTGACTTTAGTTAGGGATTTCTGAAAGATTAGTCAGGACTGGGTTGTAGGTGAGCTATGGTGTGTGATAACCTATTCTCAAGATGCTGAGTGCCAACCCCTATGCCACACAGGGAAAGGAGCTTAGTTGCTAAAGCTATCACAGTTGTTAAGCTTCAGCCTTGAAATTACAGCAATTCCTAACAAGGATCAATTACCGCTACCCTTCCAGTATCTTTAGTGGTCTACTGGAGCAAAAATGAGTCTTCATGGTGCTGGAGGATTAAAGGTAATCAGGATAGTGATGAGAGGGAGATGAGGGTAGGGGAACTCAAGCAAATAGTATGAGGTGAAAATTTTATGTACAATAAAGGGATGGCAGCTGGCCTAAAAGAAGAGATTAATTAGAAAGCAGACTCAGATAAGTAGAAGTAATCTTAATAGATAATAAGATGGGGAGAAAAGGGAAAGAAAAAGGAGAAATTTGAACAGACAGACAAACAATTATAAACACAGCAAAACTGCTAAATAATCTGGGAATCTATTTACCCACTAAAAGCATTGGTAGTGAAGGAGGATTGTGGATGTGTAGATAGAGAAAGGGGGAAGCATGACAGTAGTTTTGGTTATTGACAAGAGGAAAGTATAAATTAGGGAGGGCTATAGGCAAGGGAAGGAGAGGAAATGGCTTAAGTTTGCATACTGAAAGGCAGGTAATGGGGCTCTCATATGATGACTACAGAGAAAGAGAAGGAGGGAAAGTAGAACTCAATGGAAAATAGGGATGGAGGATTAAAATTGCCCAGTTGGAATATACAGAAAAAGGAAATACAAACAAGCATATAAAAAAAATCTCCACATCTTAACAGCAATGCAAACAACTTCATGTAAAAAAAGTGCTCTTCTAAGCAGATAATTTCTCCCCTCTTTCCTCCCTCCCCCAGTGTCCAAGACTGTCAGTCCACTTAAAGGGAGTCTAGCTGAATACTGCCTCTGGAATGGAGTCAGTTGAGTCTGCGTTCCTCCTCCAGTGAAGACAGGGAGGGAGGAGTGTTTGGAGACCTAAGTGTGATCTCTGGAGTTTGTACTATCAACTTGCCAGTCTCACATCATGCACTCTTGTAGCTTTCCTCTCTTTCAAGATCTCCAGTATGCACGTACACAGACTTTTGTCAGATGTCCTCAATGGCAGGAGTCTCTAAGGTGGGGTTGGTATCACAACTGGCCTTGCCAAGGCCACTGTCTCTGCTATCACTCTGCTGCATGCTCCAGGAAGCTTTGTTCTGAGTCATACCACACTGCCACATTCCCTGGTACCACTGTGAGATACCACTTTTACTCACCAGGCCCCAGCTGTTTTTCTGTGGTAGGTTCCTATTTGGCACAAACCTTCTCCACCATCACTGCTGCTGTTGCCATGGGCTCCAGGCCTGGACACCTTATTTAACCTCTCTAAGTTTTCATTTTGTCATTTATGAAAGACCCCATTGACTTATTGTAAAGATTAAAGAAAGCATGAAATGCATCTGCTCAATAGCTGATGATATAGTAAACATTTAATAAAAGATGTTTAATCTTAGCTAACTCAAATCTCTGGGTGGTAGTAAGAAAATGGTGAGAAGTTAATTAATTAGCTACTTCAGTTTGTGACTTCAAGAAAGCTAAGCCAAATGAGGACTTTGTCCTTGTCCTCATGTCTCCCATAGGTTCCCACACATACTCTTCAGACACACATGCATACATATGCTCAAACACTCAGGCATCAGCCACAGTTCACAGGGGAGTGGTACTTACAGGGCTTAGGCACCATAATAAACTTTCACATGAAGTACAGCAGTACTGTTCTTAATTAAAATCTCTACAGAACTCTTGTTGTTGACAATATCACCACCCAAAGCCATATTTACGTTGTTAATTATTCAAGTTGCAGTGAATAAGAAACAACTCCAGGCTTCCCACAAAATCGCTAAAAATTAAACCAGGGAAATGGGCAATAAATGT